GGAAGGATTGAAACATTCCCAAACGCAAAAAACGCCAGAAATGCAACCACCTCTTATTGACTGTTATCTGGAAGAGTCTTTCCGATGGCAATACAGCAAGGAATTCCATAGGACTTCTCTCCGACAAGTTTCGGTTTCTTGTGAGGCCGTGCTTTTCCCCCTTTTGTCGGAGTTTAAAAAGGACAGTTTTCCCATGTGCATGTATGCTTTTACCTCATTCTGAAAGGTTTCAGGAAACAGTGGCTTTACGCGGGGACGAGAAACTCCCCTTGGCCCGTCTGGGAGCGACCGAAGGAATGTGAGCGTAGCCTCTTATCTTATGACCGTTATACTGACGATCGAGTTTATCCGCATAAAGGCTTCTGGTGATCCCTCAAAGTCGGACCTTTAAAAAAAGTCAGTGAATCAACCGATCAAGGAGACGGCAGAAACAAACAAATAGACTACGCTTCCTGTTTAAAAGCTACCTTCATAATGACTTTATATTTTTGATGGCCTGACTTACGTCTGCACAAAGCCCAGTTGGTTAACCGGTTTCGTTTTGTTTGCATTGTATTAACTCCCATGGTCTCCTCAACAACTTCCACTCAAAGTGTATAAGCTTTCCTGAATGACCTACCTTCCATCTTACCCCATAAAGACTTTATAATCTGCCCACTTTCTGATCCTGGCAGATGATTCCCTTTACTCTAACCACGTTTGGAAAAGCAGATTATGTATGTGAAGGGTTATAATGGACTTTCACATTTCTTTGTATTTTTTTCTTAATTTGTTGTTTGCCTGTAGCGAAACTTGCATTGTGCCATCCCGTGTAGCCTGGTCAATGGCTACGGTGAAGCAATGCGATACAAGCCGATGGTGAACTATACGAAAACTTAATAGTCAGATCATGAACTTCAGTATGAGCTCGAATCTCCAGACGAAAATAATTTTCCTTTTGACCCAACTGTGAAAAACTCGGTGCCTCGGTGGAATGAGAACCCGTGTAGCTCAAGTAGTTAGTGCGTTGGCTGTATTAAAGCCTTCCCCTTGCTGTCGTGGGTTTGAATCCCACCGAGACACCGAGGTTTTCACAGTTGGGTCAAAATAACTTATTTGAAATTTGTCATACCCATGAAAATAGTTTCCTTTTGAAGTTGCACCGTTCTCATAAATATACAATCCGGAGGACAAATCTCCGAAAGGATAGTTATAAAAATTGTCTCGCATCATATTTTTACGAGAGTTTAGCAGGTTTCATGTTGCAAAACCGTCAGGCTAGTCTGCATCACCTATATTTCTTTGAACTGAGTAAATCACCAGTTCACTTTGGGATTTCCCATTTGACATTGTATCTTTTTTAAACGCAAAATCTTTAAATCGACAATTTTGGAGGGCTTGTTTTTCTAGAGACCGATAACGACGACGAAATGAAAAAAAAGAGAAAAATATTCTAAAACTGATAAAGACCTCCTCAATTTAACCAAGCGCAATCAGCCTAAGAAAAGTGCTACTCCAGAATTTTGTTTCAATTGCTAACTGAGTAGTACTAGTGGGTGGTTTCAATTTTGGTGCTAATTCTTAGATGCAGTGGTGGTGATTTCGGGAGTGAGAGCCATTACCAAACAATGGGTACATTCTGGAACAACTGAATGCACACTAAATGAATCGATGTGAGATCAGAGTAAGGCAATCATGTCTTGAGTTTCGGGAAATTCCCCATCGGACTCCTTTAAGGAATTTGGCCTTTCAAACTGGAAAACGTATGGTGAGAGATTCAAGGCT